GTAGAGGTCAATTACACCTGGTCTAAAAAACTGCTTCTTCTCCCACTTCCCATTTACTTTTACTGATCGCTGAACCGAGCTTGAGTCCGTTGTACTGGTGGGAAGGGTGGCTAACACACTAACTGGCTTTCTGTCACGCCATGTCACACAAGTCAAATTTCCCTTTTGCCTGTACAAACACTCTCCTCTTTTAAGATCTTTCACTGCCTTTTCTTCACACCACAAATCTCTCTTGGCAAGGCTACCCTGTTGGACTGAACTGTGACACATGCAAGGGTTTTTCTTTCTTCTAACTCTTCAAACAGAGCTACAGAAGTGTAATAGTTGTCCATGAAGGCATAAAATCCCTTATCTAGATAAGGTTGCAGCACAGACATAACTGCCTTCCTTCCTTTCTGTACTTCATTATTCTCCTTGCCAGTGTAAATCTTACTATTCAACACATAGCCACTGGTGGATCCTGCAAGGGTGAAAGCCTTTATACCAAATCGTCCCGGCTTTATGGGGATAAACTGCCTGAAGTGTACTTTGCCTTTGAATTTAATTAAAGTCTCATCTATGGCAAGTTTTCGCTCAGGGGTGTACACGTTGTGACAACTTGCCATTACCAAATCTAGGAAAGGCTGGATTTTGTACAGCTTATTGTAGTCTGTGGAGTCTCGCGGGGGAGCATGGTTGTTGTCAGCAAAGTGCAGGTACCGCAAAATTTGAAAGAATCGAGTCCGGGACATCAAAGATGGGAAGAAAGGAGAACTTAGGACAGGATCAGTACTCCAGTAACAATTAAGGTTTGGTTTTGTAACCAACCCCATATTTAGGTACAGACTAATCCAGGCCTTCATTTCACTTTCTGTGACTGGATACCGCACAGAGCTTTCTGCTGGCCCTCTCTTCTGTTCTGCATATATATTAGTTTGACTAACTAACAACTGCCATACCTCTTGGGTAAAAAGCAGCTCAAAATAATCCAAACACGATTTCAGGTTTCTTGTGCTGACATTTATTCCAGGCTCTTCACCAAAATCAATATCTACTCTGCGTTCGACTTCTCTAGACCAATGTTCTTCATCCGATTCCACTTCGTTGTCTTCCTCTTCCGACTCTTCGCTCGAATTCTCGGAGCTTAATTCCGATGCACCAGAGTGAAACTTCTCATCAGAAGCTTGATGCTCGATTATACTGGCGAGAGGGAAGTCTTCTTCGTCGATAAACTGAATTTCGACGTTGTTTTGGTCGCCGAAATGTAGTACAGCATCACCTTGAAGAGCCGCCATTTTTAAATCTCCCCGTTGAAAACGTTTAAATCACAAAAAGCCTCAAAATTCGCCCGAAAACAAGCTCGATGGAAGAAATCCTCGAAAAAACTAATAAAGCAATTCATGTAATCTACATTAAAATGTAGTCGTAGTTTCAGCCCCTCAAATCCCTCTCTTAAGGCCCGATCGAATGAGGACTGTATTAAGTGGCCATATATGGCCGCTTGGTACGCAAAGGGTTAACCAATAATAATCCCTCTCACAGTCTGGCGTTTACTGATTGAATCCGGCTCTTGATCGTTTCATTCCTGTTGTTCGCCAACGCCGATTCCATTGGGGTGCATTTAGTAGCTATTTGTGACCTACCCTCAGGGCTATTGATCTTGTTTGCCCGATTCATGCTTTTGGTTTAGATTAGATTTCTTAGATCTAGGGGATCAAGCAAAAGCTTTTAGTACTGCTGACTTAGAGAACCAAAATTGGTCTTGAGCTCATCGGTGATTTTATCCGTGATCTAAGAATTTGGAACAGAAGAAATGTCGGACATAGCGAGGACAGTTCATGAGACTTGATATTGAGGGAGGGGTGGCAGGGAGTTTCAACTCTCCTCTTCCCGTACCTTTTCTTCTCGGGTTTTTGCCCATCATCCCGCCATACTAGATGCAGTCAGTGAAAACAATGATTACTGGTGTGGTGTGGGGACATAAATTTTCCCTGCGCGAGCCTGCGCATCTTAGAACAAAGGCAGCGGCTTCTCACAGAGAGCAACCGCACCAGAGCCTTCACGTTCTCAAAATGGCGTCCTCGAAAGTTCGTTCTCTGCTGAGATTGGGGGCAATTGCAAGTCCCAGAGTTCTACTGAGAAGTATGTATTCTATGTTTTGAGTTTTGAAGCTAATTTTTTTAAACCTCAATTTGCTTTTTAATAGTAAAAATTCCCAATGAGATAGGCAAAATTGCACTGAAACTAACTTGTTCTTATTGTCGTAAGCTTTGCTTGAACTCAAGTGTATTTACTTGTAAACAATTGCTTGGCGGTGTTTTTGAGCTGAAGCTTAAACGTTTTCACGTTAGCTTACAGGTTGTAGCGAAACCTAAGATCCCCGAAAGCTAAGACCTAAGACCTAAGACCCGAAAACGAAGACTCCCCTATTTTCTTTCTTTAACAAGACGTTTTTATCGTTTGTCTCACGATGTAGTCAGTTGAGATGTAGATCGCGACGTTTTGACTGCTTACTGCTAGTCTTCTTCAGGCGATAAGGTCGACTGATTGCACGGTATCATTTATATCAAAAAGGTCGGCTGTGACATGTCCAGCTCCAGTTTTTTTCTTTTTAACAGCGGTAAAGTACTGTACCATCAAACCATCAACCATCAAACACCGGTTTTACATGTATTCCCTTAATTCCGCTCAATGGTTACCATATGAGAGCTGTTGGATTCTTGTTTCGTTGTTGTTTCTCAAACGGCCTTCATCTTTGAGTGTGGTACTATAATATAATGGTACTTTTCCTGGCCGAACCAGTGTGAAATGAAAACTGGAGGAAAATTGCCAAACCCTGTTCATTTATGTGGAATGTAACAACCTCAAGCACATTTTACACCAGCAGCAAATTTTTTGATGCAAACTTCAAAAGAGCTTCAAAAACAGTACTTTTGTTGTTTTTAAAAAATAAACAAAACAGAGGGGGTCTTCATTTTCGGGTTTTCGGGTCTTTGTTTCAGGTTTTCGGGTCTTCTTTTTTGGGTCTGCATGTTTTACTGCTATTAGAAACATTAAAACCAGAGCGGAACATGTCCAGTGAGAAACCATAACAAGATCATATTAAATAAAGAAAATAAAGGGTCTTCATTTTCAGGTCTTCGTTTTTGGGTCTTCGTTTTCAGGTCTTAGGTCTTAGCTGGTGGGGGTGTTAGTTTTCACTACAGCCTTAGCTTACACGTGCATGGGTAAATGGTACATCAATTAAATTTGGTCAACATAGTTTTATTCTGTGGTATATTCATGTAAAAAAAATTAAAATAAAAAAAAATAAATAAATAAAAAAAACCTTCAAAGACAGACACAGGCTGGAGCCTTCAATATCTGTTAAATTGTAATCATTCATCAATTCAATGAATGTTGTCTTTTCTAGATCAATACAAACGCACGCCTGTCTGTACTAGTGCATTCTCCTCGCAGCAATCAAGAAAATTATCAACTGAAGTTGTAGTCAAAGGTGATACCTGTTATTTTTAAAACTGTTCTGTGTGGAATTACATGTAGTAGCAACTGGGTTGCAGGAATGACATGAGTAAGGTTGCCAATTTTGAGATTGAGTGTGCTAGCTTATTAAGGTACATGTAATGCCATTGAAATAGAACTCACAATAGATGTTCTTTCAAACTTTACCTGTTGGCTGCTTACATGTAAGTCAAGAGAACTTAAAATTTGAAATAAAACAGGGGGGTCCCTGTATCGTTTAGGAGCAGGAGAACCTTCAATAAACCCCATAATTCCAGAAATTATTTGCTTTCAGAAATGTGTATATTTTAATCATTCACCTTATGCTTTAAGAGAACAGCAAAATAGGGAGAAAGTTAAGCGAGAAATACATGTACAACAATGGATGTATTGCATCAATGTTAAGGAGCAATTTGATGTATGTTTCATGATAAAGGCAAGCATATTTAGTCGACAGGGATTCAATATGTTCCAAGCATGGAGTGTTCTTCATTTACAAGTACTAGCTATGCTCTCAATTTTTGTGGTAATTTTTTACTCTGCAAAAGAAATTGGTCCATGTTCACTATATAGAAAGAAGGTGATCTCTGTATTCAAACTAAATAAAAAAAATCGTTAGGTTGCAGCACTTGTTTCCAAGAAAAAAAATGATGATTTGTCTCTCGCAAGCCAAGCCATTTAGAAAAGGCCACCATTTTGTATATGTTGTGTATATGTTGTATGCATGTGCTCATGAGTGCGCTAATGATGTGAAAATCGTGCACAGTAGGACTGTGCAATGCAATTCTGAGGAATCACCTTAATGGAAGTTTCAAAGTCAGGCAAAATGACTGGTCCAACTGTTTGTGACTTGTTTATAATGCGTAGGTAATGAGAGGTGCTTATCTTAAGTCATTCACCTTTTGTTGTCTTGTTTGTTGTTCAGAGGATGCAGCTGTCGCACAGCTGTCTGAGTTTGGGCAGTATGTAGCTAGCATATTGCCAAAGTACATTCAGCAGGCACAGATAACGCAAACAAAAGAACTGGAATTGTTGATTGCTCCGGAGGGAATCATCCCTGTCCTTACCTTCTTAAGGGACCATACTAATGCTCAATACAAGTCTCTGGCAGACCTGACAGCAGTGGATAAGCTGGGAAAGCCTTTCAGATTTGAGGTACATGTACAGTGTATGTTGCAGGTTTAATTTTAAAATCTAAAAATTTTAAAACCAGTTTGATTGTCTTTCGTTTTTCTTTTATCAAACCCTGACATTATTAAGTAAACTCTTTGGTTTGAACTTGTCTCAAGCACAGAACAGAAAGTAAAGCCCTTTTTATATTTGGCCTAGTGGCTTGGGAGCTCAAAAACACTGAACCCCGGTCTGTGGACCCCCATTACGGACAGGGTCCATGGACTACTCCTACGGACTCCCTCTATGGATCACCCCGAAAAGAGAATGAAAATTACAATACATGTACACGTAAATAAAGATTTCTCTTACGGTTTGTCTAAGGCAACATTCATGCTACAGCAGAGAACTTTGAAAATGTGGCTTTATTTCTACAATTCAGTTTTGAAAAGGCTCTTCCAATGGGAGGAATTTCAAAATGCCACCTTTTCATTTTTGTGTAGACAGAAAACATCTTGAAAGCTTTTGGAAAACAGTGGTGCCATGATAATCATGTTATTTCCCTGACTAAGTTTTCCTCAAACACAAATCCAAAATGACTGGTGATTGTTGCATTTTCAAATTTCTCTGCAGTAATAATAATAATAATGATAATGATAATGATAATGATAATGATAATGATAATGATAATGATAATGATAATGATAATGATAATGATAATAATAATA